AAACATTTTCAATCTTTTTATTGACTTGATCAATTGCTTTCAGTGCTGTAAAGAAATTGTTATTCATTTGATTTGATAGGCTTCTTAATATTATCGACCAAACTTTGATCAGTCTCCGTTAAAATATGTGTACCTCGATATATTCACTTATCACATGCATTGTCGAAAAGAAAGATCGTGATTGAAAGTGGAATCCATCAACAGCTGGATAACTTAATAGCCCCATTGCAAATTAAATTCATACACATTGCACAAATACGTGGCTATCTGTACTCAGCAGCTAAGTAGATAATGTACTAGTGTTTGGAGCGATCGGAGAGTACTGAGTTCAGGTTCCGGAGTGAATATCAACTTTCAGATGCAGCTGTATCCAGGCGACAAGTCTCAAATAGAATGAACTATGCCCTGTATTCCACTGCTAGTCACAATTCTTTTCCCCTAAGAAAATGATTGTTATTTATGTATAATCGATGAATTAACCACTTTTCGCTCACAAATCAATTCATTGCTCACATAACAACTAGTAAGTAACTTCGTCTCAGTAACTGAAACAGAAGCAGAAAAAAAATGTAAACATTCCACTTTACAAAAGAAAACCTAGGTAACTAGATTTGCATCACGGCGACAAAGGCTTCAAATTGTCCACGATATTTCTGGTACTGACTGAGCTTTGATCAGTGTCTGTAGACACATGTGCATCCGATTTGTCAAAACAGACATTTTGTCACAATTTCTCATAGAATAGCTAGATTCCATTGCCAGTTATAAACCATTTATTCAATAAGATTACTAGATATGTTTGTTTGCCTATTCTAAAAAAAAAATTTGGATATCAATAAACAATAAAATATATAGATGGTGCATTTTCTCCCAAGGGACTCCAAAAGAATGAATAATTTTTTATCATTATTTATTTAGATCTTATCTGTGCAGCTCATGCTTTTTTTTTTAGGCCGATAAATCACGTAATCTGTCTTATTGAATTCATTTAACTGGAAAAGACGTCTCATTGTGCATCAGTGATTATGCTACTCTCTGAATTGTAGCCTTTTCTAAAGAATTCATAATTAGTTGATTAAGTACTTTGGATATGTAACAGAACAACTACTTGGAATAAAATCTAACTAGACAATAAAAGGAGCTATACCAGTGACAACCTACTGATGATATTATTTCTTATAAACTGTCTTAAATATTGTTATATATTCGAACTAATAAAACCATTTTGTTGGTAAAGTCTCTTTCAGGAAGGTTGATTGAATGGAAGAGGTGGAAATAAACTGAAATGCCATTTTGTCATGATACAAATATTGAAATCGCTAACCTAGTTTGTTGAATTTTGCCTCTGAAATTTATGATATGTTGAAAGTATAACATTTCTGTTAGAAAGTAACCACCGAAACTGATTGTAACATTCAGCAGGCAAACATAAATTAATTATTAGTAGATATACATACTCTTGGGAAATTAAGCACTCAAAAAATAAAACAAAAAAAAAACATTTTGTTTACTAAAAATCCACCAAACCATTTGATTAATTATTTATGTCACTTATGAATGGGTCGTGAAATATTCATTCTATATGCTCAGAAATAGACCATCTCTTCTTTTTCACAGCGGTGTTGTCAATTCTTGTCAGCGGACTTCAAAATACAGTGGAAGATTTAAATCTCCCTAAATGATAAATTATGATTTATAGATGGATAAATAAACACAAAAAACATTTTTTTTTAAAAAAAAAAATATTTTAGCATAAAATTTCTGATTACCCAGTTTTAATCTGGAATCATAATTACGACACATTTCTATCCAAGCACCTAATTTCAAATATTGAAACATGATCTTCTTATTGTTCAACTAGCATAGATTTCTGATTTGAATTCTTAATTGTTGAATGTATTATTTTGTAAAGATGTCGGCGATAATTTTGCTAGCAATTAGCAATGAAGACAGCATTGAATTCATTAATTAAGATTGGATTATTCTCACAAAAAACGAAATTATATAGATCACTAAACATGATGTTCACTTCTTATCTCATTGTAACTAGTTTCAATCAAAAAATCCTATTTGTCAAAAATGTAACAAGAGTTTTGATAAAACTCACACTATACCTTACGCTAAATTTTGATTATAATTAAATAATATTATAAGATGAGCTTAATGATGTGTGAAATTAAACTACCATTGGTGTGTGTGATCGTTGGAATTGCTTATTACAGTAACAAGCAGGATTTATACGGTCATTCGCAGATTACTTTATATGCAATATAAAATCGTTTATAATACAATCAATCAACCAACTTGTATATTGATGTATTAAACGCTGAAATGTAAAAATCTATACACCAAAAATGATTACTCTTAAACTGTTGCATCGGCTGTATACTTACTTTTTTTATTTATGGCACAAATAGTGTTCTCCAAACAGTTTTATAATCATTAGTGTTGTTAGCATTATGAAAGATATTTCTTAAGAGTAAATTGATAAGATACAGATTAATCGGTGTCGGAATGTATACTTACTATAGATAGGATGACACTGTTCATTTTCCTCGTAAATCTGATATATAAAAGGAAATATACACACACACACATACCCAGTAAGTACTGTACACCAATGAAATATTCTTTTATATCTTTGAACACAAATGATATTTTTTACCATTTGGTAACCAAATTTTTAGTTATGGCGACAAGCTCTCCATACTTATTTCTATTTGTTGTCTTGTGTAAGAGCAATTGCTTAAGATTACAAAATATCGCTCATCCAGTTTTTCAGTTTTCAATGTAAACAATGAATTTTAACCAGTTAGATAAAATCAGTCGATTACTTCAGTCTAATTACACGGAATAAACGACTCAAATATTATCTACACAAGAATGGACATATTTTATTCTTTTCTGATTAAACAATGAAATGGAAAACTTCTTAGCCCCAACAACTGCTATTTCGCACAAGTTATATGTGATCCGTAAGTATATATGCGCGTCTTGCCCAACGTTTAAGCCATAAACCATGAAAATAATTATTATGACCAATATGACAGCTGAATCCGAAGATAAAATATCTGTCAAAGAATAAGGATCCGTGCAGTTTTCTAGGTCACTTACTATTTTATACAGTAAATTTCACAATAAACAGTGAACATCCAGTATGGAACTAGCAGATACGTAGGTTCTTGGTTCTCAACTTAGTCTGCATGGAATCAATCGCTTTATAAACAAGAGACATAGATAAAAATGTGTAGAATAAAATCTCTTCATTAAATATCACTCGCTCATCTCTAAATGTTTGCGCAATATATGCAGTTACTTACCTAGGAAATAGCCCTCCTTTGAGTATAACCGATTAGTATTTATATGGAACCATCTCCACTACGTTCAAGTATCAAGTCATTTTGAGTACAAAGTTTGAAAACAACCATATCAATAAGTTTATGGAGATGTGTTTTACTCCTTTTCGACTTGTCAGTTGGAATTGAAGCAGTTATCCTTCTTATATCAATGTAATCAGATCTCATGACATTCCATTCTCAGTAAAAGTGAATAAAACTAACGGCCCTGTTTTTGAATTAACGTTTATCCGATTTTACCATTTTGGTTTGTACTAATGATTGTACTAAATATAAAAATCGCTATCATTAAACATTTAGATCACTAATTACCATTCCAAAAATAATACACCGTGATTATAAAACTAATTGAAAATTCATGAAATAACTCAACTGTTCTAGATTATTACAGTAAAACTAACACTAAACTAATTCGATTTTCTTCATTCAGACAAGTTATTATTCTAGCGACTGAGAAATCTTTCCACAACAAATGAATAATGCTTACTTATATACCTTCTTCAATCTTTTTCAATGACATTTCATTATAATGTGTACATACGCATCATTGCATAATCACTTAGGTTCTTGAAATTCGACAACTTACTTCAACTACATGCTGTAGGTTGTAATATACAGTTGTCTTAAACAGATTACTAGCTAATTACAGTTTGAACATTTTACCAACTAAATAACAATCAGCAGTAAGACTTACTGACATCAGTAATCGTGTTCATTAGGTCAACTTGAATGTTATAGTATAAGAATAGTCGGTAAACATACAGATTTAAATAAAGCCGTTTCTGTGAAACGAAACAAATTTATCAATGAGAATCGCAATCAATCACCCATTTAGCACACCATCGTGGAATCTGATCAATAACTTTTGACAAACTTCATCGTGAAAAATAATGTTTTAGCCATCGATATGGCAGTATATTTTTATGACTAAAGAGAATTTATCTAATATAAAGAGTTTAAGTTCATCAAACGAAATTCCATCTGATAAATTAATGTTTTAGCCCATTAATAAACCGGTTACCAACTAATGGATAGCAATTACAAATTCCCGGATTCCATTAATAAAATTGACAACATTAAGGATAAAACGCAGCGTGTTTCATCATACACATTTGTTTTCAGGTCAAAACTAGTGATGAGGTTGGGTTGAGTGCTCGATACCTATCCGGTGAAATTCTCAAAATACACTCGGAAAATTAAATGCAAAACTTAGGTCATTAGTCCCTAGCATAGAGTTGTGAAACCAAACTATCACTGTGAACAGTTACTTAAAACATACTTGATTTCTTACAGTCGAAAGAATTGGACAGTTCTTATTATTAACAAACTGAGTACAGAACACAAACTAGTGATTAAGTCTAACTATAAGGATAAACTACTCTTAGTGCAACTCATTCAAACTCAGCTTTAACAATCAAAAAGGCAGTTTAATTTGGCTCATTTAAGTTGTATTCAATAAAACAGACAAAATTCTAATATTGCATAGACTTTATGCATTCAAACCAGTAAATTTGTTCATTTCACACATCTTTGGAATATAAATAATAATATACGGAATATATGACATTAAAATAACAACTGAAAGATTTCAATGCTTTGGTTCTTTCGTGTTCTTTTCTTCAATTTCATGATTGTTTTATATTATTAGTCATCAAAACCAGTAAAATAACCTCGGGAATAATCATCATTGTAATAGTTATATAGATCATGATTATACCATGGAAATGCTTCACGATTCATTGAACGCTTACCCAAACGTGCATCCCATAAATAATTACGCTTCATAATATGACGTCTGATTGGAGAGAATTTAGTAGATTGGTCTTTTGCGGAGGCAAAACTATCTTCAGTTGCAACGGTATACTGAACAAATGTAAAGGCTACAAAACAGATTATTGCTAAAACGTAACGATGAAACATGATCTTGTTCGGCTAATAAATGTGAAAAGTGTATCCAACTTATGAAAATAAGCTGACAAAGTGAATGTTAGTTAATTAATTGTATGGAAAATTTAATGTGCAAATGAATTGGAGATTATCTGTCAAGCTATAAGTAGACTGGATAACCAAGTAGGGCATCCCATTAAATATTGAAATTATTACAGAAAACCAATCAGAATAGGCGATAAAATATGATCAGGAAGGGGAAGCTTGAATTTACGATTGGCTTGTGAATTATGGACCAATTGGAACGAATATAATCCAATAGACTACGTAAGTTTTTATTCATTGAAACTCTTATAAATCTGAGTAATTAGATAGGTTGACATTAAGATAAACTATTCAGAAACAACATAAAAGCCCAATTAATTGGGAAATTCTGATATTTTCAACTTTAAGTATTTAGAGTTTGTAGTAGTGCGCTAAATGTACATTACTTGACAATGAAACGTACAGAAAAAAGCTTAATGTTTGAGCTGCGGTTAAAGAATATGTAGAGCCAACGACTGCGATATTGCGCAGCTGAAATCAAACTAACAGCCAGGGTGGACTGTATTTTCTTAGACTGTTGAACTGACGTACATATGGAGAAATCTTCAAAATCTCACATACCTAGGAAGCGTAAACTTCTTTTAGAAAAATACATACAATTACCAAGCTTGGATAAAATTGAAAGTCTAAACTATCGAAACAAGGAGTAATAATTGTATGATCAGTAACATGTAAAATCCTATTGTAAGAACAACAGTTAGCATTGATAATACTCAGTTCAGTAGTCAATATCCACAATCTCGGTAAAGCATCGGATCTTAATAAACTTGGATATCCAAACAACATGACTAGAGATAAATTTCGTGTATCTGAATATTATTTAGAGATTTCACATGTTGAATATGAGATAAAACAAAATAAAAAGCCAATAAGATAATATGGATGTATCTGCCCGTATGATACATTTTAATGCGAATTGTCGCAATTACATATTTCATATCTTGTGTATTAGGTAAGTAATTACAGTGTCAGAATCCACTAGTAACATAAAGATTGTAACAAAGTGAAATAATTGACAAATTGCAGACACTTGACTAGTGAATATGATTACATAAGTGAAAGAATATTCGAAACTACCGATTTTCTAAAATAAGACAACTGATCAACTGGTCAAATTATCTTCGTGTACTCAATACAAAGAGACGCAAACAAGAGGACTTTACAACAAATTGGGAGTGAAAATAAAGGCTAATAAGACAAAACCAACAACAGTTAACATCTGGCATGTCAACTTATCACTGTAGATTGACGGATGCTGTCGAATACCTTTACAAAGAGTAAGCATAGTAACTGGTATCAACGAAGACATAGGATAAGTATCGTTATGGAGTTGTAAAGATTGAGTTTTATTGAAATAATGGATCGATCAATATTAGACCATCATAAGGATATGGATTTCGCTCTATCACTACATTACTTGCATTTATATAAACGTTAATAGGCACATGTTAGACAATCACTGAGATTGAATATCATGAACAATCAATGTTTTGCTTCTGTAGATACTAAGACTGATGATAGGTTTGATAATGCTACTAATGTCCACGAGTTTAACAAGCAAGGTGTATAATACTAATCAGTTTGAATGCTTACAATTCATACAAAATTTGTAAACGTGCATAGTGTAAATACACTGGCAAAAACATGGCCTATCTTATAAGACTGGGATAATAAAAAACTGGATGCAAAAACTTAGACTGTCTATGCGCTCAGAGAAAACTAAACGAAAATGAAGTGGGTAAATTTCTTATTATGAAGTTGATGAGGTTCACACGTAAACCGAAGTACCATCAAGATATACAGATTAGTTAATACATGCTGTCGATCAGATGTATTTAGTTGTTAAGATCAAAAAAGACTTTAGCAAGAAATTAGACAAACTTCATGAGATTTCTCTAAACACGAAAACAGGAGCGCTAACGTGAAAAACTGTAAACAGGCAAACAAAGCCGAATGTTACTGAGTTGGAATTACTAACATTTTCAAAGGTACAACGATTATCAGCATGTCGACAAATCTTAAGGTAAATAAATTGACCAAATTTAAAAATCTATACGCTTCGATAGTAAATATTCACCATTCGATATTAAACGCATTCAGATACTCCTATTTAGTCTACCAATATTTTCTTAAATATTAAAGATTTTCTAGACCCACATACACTTACCACCTAACAAGACGGAGTTTTCTGGCTTGAGTCTTGTAAAACCCTAGTCGGTATTTTTTTTATTTGAAAAAAAAACATAAAGTGTACATAAACTATATATATTTGCCACTGTTTTATTTTAGATAAAAGAATACACAGAAATGGAGAAAAGTGAAAATAAACACCGTATGACGAGTGGGTAATTTCCATTGGACATCATTACAAATAAATACAAAGGCCATAGACATTTATAGTGAATAGGAAGTTGTGAAAATGTGATGGAGAAGTGAATCAATCCATAACGGGACATAACAAAATGGGCGTACGAAAATACAAAAAAAAAACTCTATGAACAAGAAGAATAATAAACACTTCAGAATGAGTGCAACAATTATGTTTCAATAGTGTAATTTGCAATAATTAGACATAAATTAGGTTCGATGAATGCAAATTGACATTCAAAAGATGAGGATATCGATCTAACAGGAAGAAAATTAGCTTCTCGACAATTACAAATGAATTTAAGATAAAACTTAAATTTCTATTATATTTGAAAACTTCTAGTCAATTAAATTGAGGAGTACATGATTTAATTGTACGTTCAATGAATCCGTCTTTCTCTACTAAACAGATCATATCTGCGACAGTTTGTTCAACAGCAGCGCTTATAACGCGACTAGACATCTGGAAAAAACAAACAAGAAACAGTTACTCAATATAAGAACAATTAGACACTAAAAAAAATTACATGATATATCAATAAGTATTTCGTCAAGTGCATGATAAATTTCAAAAGCACCATTTATCCCTTACTATTATGATCAACTAGTTACAGATAAAACCATTAAGAGAGACATGCTAAGGATAGTGACTATTTTCCAATGATGAACGTCTAGCAAGATAGCATCTGATAGAATCGATACACATAAACAACGTATATTTGTTAGATAAAAACAACAGCACATAGTGACCAGCATACTTGAACCAAACAAATGAAACTAGATACTTTATAAATGAAGTGACAGGACAACGTACCAAACACGCTTCAGTTACCTGAGCAACTGTACCGAATCTAAAGGGCTAAGGGCTAACGAAACACCTCGGCGCATATTAAGTACAATGACCTATATATATATATGCTTAACTAGAGTAACCTACTAGTACTGAGGTGTAAACTAGTACAGTACATGAATGTTAGAAACAATATGTGTAAACATCTGGCTAGTGATGCACACATTAAGGGTTATCGTCCACGCATTGTACAATCAGTTCCAGAAGGAAATAAAAGGGTAAAAGAGCTCCTACAAAGTTAAAATCAATCGAGTATTAAATATACAGTGATATTTAGGTAGTGTATACATCGAAACCGAACAGTATAAAAAAGGATAGAGGAAATAGACCGGATCAATCATTCAAACTTATACATTGTCGACTGCTGACTATTTTCTTGATAACGAAAATAGGTGACTGGAAGCCAATGTATGATTGTCAAGAAGTGATTCAGAGATCCCAGATGAAGATCGACTCTGTCTAATCACTACACTTTGGGAGCTTCATATTGCTCGTTTTTGATACTATCAAACGAATAATGTTTGCAAAACTTACCGGTTCCCAGTCCGTTACGTCACTTGGAGGATATTTAAAGTATGGACCGAAATTCACAGAAACAGTAGCAGATTTATATATTGATATTGCTGGATAATAAGTGCCTGCATAGACATTCGTAAAAGCTGCTCCCATACATTTACCATTACGATAGAACACAATCTGAAAATGGATTTTTTAAAATACCAGAATACATTGTAAACAAGTTTATACCCAGATGTATAGAAGCACAAGCACGACTCCCAAAATCAGATTATACAGTTTAAAAACCCGAATAGCTAAATACTTATCAATTATCACACCAAACTTTTAACTTTTTCGAATTAAACAGTACCATTGTGTACACATTTCGTGGGAAGAAAATGCAGTTACAACTCTATCAAGGAACATATATGTTCACTGAAGTTCAGATAAACACCAGCTAGATAATCTTATAGGTCATCGGAACCAATCGACATGGGACCACTGAATCCAACAAAGATGTCAATACATCCTTGAAGATATATATATATATACCCTACCAAATTATAAGCATTGAAGTGTGATTATATTGAATAAATAGTTCATTTACAATATTAAGGTCTAAATCTGAAATTTAAGATCATAACGTGCATATTTTATTATCTTAATACAGAATAGGAAATAAAATAAAACTTGAATACAGGAACTTGACGAGAAACAAATACAACTGCGAATTAAAATTTATGACATCTCAACATAAACAGTATTATTTTCTTTCAATACCTATCAGTATGTATGACACAAAGACAAGAAAAAATTAATTAAACTCGCTGCCCACCCCCCCCACCCGCTTTTTTTTCTATAATGAAATGAGATACCAATTGTGATCAGGAAAATACAACCAGCTGGACAACAAGATACGCAACAGACTTAGAAATTGACAAAAAAGAAGGAGAGTTATGTTCAAGAGGATAGAAAGAAAGAAAAAGAAAAGAACCTTTTCACACATTAAGTAGGGTGAAACGAAAGCGACTCAGTTGTCGCTGTTCCTTTATTATTAAAGAAACTGAGATCAACTATGCTACTTAAAACCAACAAGATATTAATGCTTTGGAGAAACTATTGAATTGACGATTATCAACGAATGCAAAGATGTAAAGTGGTAGAATTACATTGTGTTTAACAAAACATTTTGTCATGCCGAAGAAAAAAAACATGATTAAACACACATGTTCGATAATTTTCACATGGATGAAATATTGAATTTGACTACAGAGGGCGGAATGAAATACAATCTAGATATCTTAATAACAACAGTATTGTGTGAAATCCGAGGTGATAAGCGAAGGCAGTGAAATTTAATCAACAAGCGTCTTTTTTCTCATTAAAACGATTTGGTCATATTATGTTGCAAAGAAAACGAATAATTTAATGATCCAATAGTTACTATAATATTTAACCAAAAAAGTTAGCATACAATGTGGACGCAGTCAAAAATTTGATCGTTGATGTAACCGCGACCTCAGCTTAACATTAACATGCTTTTAAATTACACAGATGTTATTTGACGGGAATGCTTATTTTAAATTTCAATTACACGACTGAAAAAACAATAGATATTGCTATGACGTTAATAAAAATACACGTAACTTGGTAATCTCTTATCGCTGGTATAAAGATGAATCGACATTTAGAAATAGTACGGGAATCACAAAGCTACAATAAGTTATGCATGGCACAATTCAAAAAGAGTTTAGTATTAATTCTAGACTAATATTTGCGATTGTAAATAGTTAATACTAATTTAATTAATAACTGATCAAGTTTTACACACTTTTCATAAATTTTCCCGTTGGTCACTACAGGTTAATTGAAAAAAGAACATTCAGAGTGAGCATTTTTTTATGGATTGTCGTTTTTACTTATCTATACATGATTTTAATTATCTACATTGGAGGATACTGAACCGCACACTAGAAATGCCTGGATGGTTTTAATCGTCAAGTTAGTTCGGTTCACATTTTTTTTATAATTGTCAATATGGTGCAGCTGTTAAAATATAACCAACTCAAGAAATGCAAATCTATTTTTTCAGTGTTTACACGGACTAGGCCATCGTAAATCTGGAATATTTCAGGGTATATAGAAATAAATTTATAGTGATTTAATTAAATTATCTTAACATGATGTTCGCACCATGACTACAAAATCCACAACTGTCTAATACCTTCACAGTAGGCTAACTAATCTGCAGTATGCACTCAGACACCTTTCTACAATAACATTCATTTATTTTTGTTCACAAACTTATCATAACAAAGTATGGGATACCGTACATTGAGGTTAAAACTAAACTATTACCTTTGACTGAAATAGGAATTGTCTGGTTAGATTTCACACACTTATCAGTATCTAACCAAATTTGTTGAACAAAACGCCACGGAAGAGAACTGGAACATTTACATACAACAGATCAGAACGTTACATATTTGAAGAAAAGTCGAAAACAATAACATTCTTACTCACTTTACTACCGGGCAATGGATGGAGTAATTTTTCAGCTTTCGTTGGTTCATCTTTCTCTTCGAAATAAAAAGAATTTCGAAATCTGATGAGTGGCTAGTAGAGAAAACAAGAGGCGAAAAATTGTGAGTCATTTCAGTGAAGCACGGAGTAATTTCGTAAACACATTTACATGCTAATGTACTATTTATACAAAACTTTAATCCTCTTCTAACCATTCTGTTTAAATTGAGCACGGAGTAAACTATGTGTAGATAATTATATTTAAGAGAGGTGTGAGCACACAAATATAGCAAGCCTTAACAGTGATATATTAAAAAGGTGACATATCACAAACTGTTGATCTTCTATTTGATATTGTACGGAATAAACGGTGTGGCCGTCAATAATATAAGACACAGGACCTCCTATCACAGCAAAACAATTTCTAATTCCATTCGATTAGAGATGGTTATCCGGAGAGTGGTGAAAACATTTTAAAGTGATAGAATTTTCAGGGACAACGTCACTTGAAGATTAATTACATATATCAACAAAAAACTCATTCCACCCAAACGGTGGACCGTGAATACTAAAAAGACTTAATGAAATATTATTAATAATCAAAGGCATATTTGAGCGATCGTGTAAGGCTGATCTTCATACAGTACTATAGTTCAGTAAGAATATATTGCAAAATTTCAAAAACACTAAGAAAGAACAGAATTTGAATCGCAATCAAAAGATTAGCTTACACGATCCTTATATGTCTCGGGAAGATAATTGGAAGCACAAAATAAAGAATTATGTTTATTCGGATTCTGTCCACTAGACGTAGTATGGTTGATGTTGGATTTGAGATCGCCGGTCAAAGATGACAATGAATTCACCTGGGGAGTTTTAAACAGTCCAGGAGACTCTGAACATTGATTCTCTAGCGATGTGAAAGGACCAGTAGTTGAAGGTAAATAAATCATACACCCAATAACATCATCTTTTTTATAACCCTCATCGGCGTAGTGTTTCCCGCGCGATTCATGAAACGCCGTACCAAGACGTGAACGCCAAGAATAACTAAACTTATCATAACCACAAGGTGCTTGTAAGTTGCCTGTAGTTATAAAAAGAACGATAACAAACGTACTTAACTGCAGAAAATAGTACATGAATACACATTCCAGTCAACGACAACAACACAACTAGTTGAAAATTATTTAATAGATGCTAACTAATCAAAACTAATAGGTTACAACACTTTCAATGTCTAGTAAACAACCAATCAAGTATAAAGTATAATGGTTTAATAAAATGATTATATGTATTGAAAGCATTATTATGAATGGCTGTATCGATAAAAACTACACAGTGGTAGCGGTACAGGAATGAATCTACAAACCTGAAACGATTCTTAAACGACACGAAACGACTTTATCATACCCTTAAAATGGATGAAACACAAAATGATACTTCATACGACTGAATTGGTGTACATAATAATGTGTCTGTGCTTCCTTGATGCTCCACAATTATCTGTTAGGTTATCAACTTCCCCAGAAGATTGTCGTCATGCTATGGCGATACCACACAAGTAAATATAAAATCTAGAGATGTCTATTCCAAAAGACTGAAGATTATGACATGCCTTTTAGACATGCCTTACAAATTTTGTCCAGTGACTTCTATATCAAACTGATGCCGAAAAAAATGAACATATACGAGAACAAGACTGTGTCGATAGACAAGACGACATACTAGCGAATAACTAAGCAACAGTTGGTAAATTACCTAACTCTGACACAACTGTCTAATCCAAAAAAATATAAACAATTCTACATTAATCCTGAAATTCAACAAGACAACATGTATTCGATTAGGTGTTAAAAACGCACATCAAAACGTTTATCGGAATAGCAGATTAAAAAGACATCGGCAACAAGGTGTGACTAATCTTCATGTCTGGAATTTTCCTGTTAATGTTTATTATTGAACTGTTTCACACTTGATGTAGTCAATACAATTGAATTGTATGCAACATTTGAGGTCAGTGTTAGTGATTAGTCATCAATATAAAAGTAGATGACAATTAAAAACTCACCACTTAACTGTATACCATTGCTCGGGTTACTAAACTATCGTCCTAATTTACTTATATCCTCGAAAAACTAACCATTCATCATCAAGCATGATGGATATTTTACAACTCACCATACATTTGAGACCAACCGATTCTGGTTGCAGAACCTTCTGGTTGTTCTGTGATAGTTGCTTCGAAGTACCAAGTACCAGAATTAACGCTATGAGTGGCACGGACCATGCAATAACCTTTGTCACCAGTAACTGACAATTGAGATTCGTGAACTTTCAAATGATTTGCTATGACAAAAGCAAGCAATAATCATCACTAAACTTAGTAAGTTCGATGTATACAGAATAAGAAAGAAATTATACAGTTTGAAAATCGATAATTTAGCACAAAAGTTTTTAGAGTTGTGGTTTGAGTGGTAACTAAAATTTTCATTTATCTGAACTGTTTACGAAATTACTAGTCCCGAAGTATGATAGCGTTTATATGCAATACTTGTTTTTTTCGTATAAACAAGAAGACGCCTTAATAATTAAAACCTATTTATTCTCTTTGATTGAGAGTGAATTATAGAGGACATTTACAAGACGATGTATTATAAAACTTTTATAATTTCGCTTGCGTGCAGGGATTCTACCGGAAGATAAAGAAGGAAAAAGATGTGAATGGAATGGATGGTTAGTATCAGATAAGATAATACTTGCCAAGAGTTTGAAAGCTTTTAGGTCTGTCTACCATTATACTGTAGATGACAACTCTAAGCTTATTTTAGATGTTAAGACTGATCCATTTTTTGGGATAAATATATAATCCACCTACCTGTTTCCATATATGCCTGATTAGTTTGACACTTCTAGAGCAAAGTTTCAACTTGGACTAACAAATAACTATTCAGTTTGTATAATGTTCAGTTTCTAGTTATCATTCTAAAAAACCAGAGATATTTCAAAAATGCTTGGTGATATTTTATGGGAATTACTACAAGGAGAACAACTAGAAAAACCAGATTTCTTTTGAGACAAAAAAGTGATTTGAAGAGTTAGATTATTTTACGGTAACGGTAAGCTTACCACGATCACTCAAAGATAAAACCACTTGTGAGCATAAAAACACACGATAAAAGAGACCAGGTATAGGTTTCCCAGCTGTGAACTCGCATTCATCCCACTGCTCCCGACCAGAGGCATGTTTATCTGGTTCCACTAAAATATAACTAGAATATATTTAAATCAAATAGTTACGAAATGAACAGCACAGAAATACATATACATCCTACAAACCTGTTCAAAGCCTAATATATAAACCTGTTCTTGGTAGATGCGTCACATGTAGGAGATAAGTGTAAGCTAAGATTGTAGATGAACGAACTCAAGTGGCAGTCTTTGTTTGCATGGCTTTTATTTAATCAAATTGCAAAAAGGTATACGGAGTGATAGCTGAGAATAAAAAGTGAATTTACGTCATTAATAACTTAACAATAGATAGATTAACTATAGAAATAACCTTTCCCAAAGGCTCTAATATCCAACTAATCCGAACCTAGTAAGCAACAAAATAACCTGATTCTTGATGGGTTGGAACTTAAAAGTGAAATCATAAGATATAAACTTAAAAGGCGGAATCTGTGCACAAAAATTGTTGAGTCCCATAAGAAATTGTATTATGAAACACTTAGAATAGTTGACAATGATTCATACCTACCATATTAGAGCTAGCAACATTATCGTTTTCTCTTGACATGCGTCAGGTGAAAATGGTAAGTAAATAATCATACGCGTCTATGTGTATAATGCTGAAGAGTTCCATACTAGGACGAAACGGTTGATAATGCTTTCAGGCCCCAGATAGCTGTTTATTTAAAGTCATCTAGTGATTTGATCTGTAAGTCAGTTACAACGTAGAACTTCGTACGTACGTATATCAGTTCAAGTTGTCATACCACATTAGCACAGAGACGCAATTGTCAATTCAAATCCCACAGTAGTAGAGATAGTAGAAGTATTAGCAGTAATCGGAAAGATTCGGGTTCAAAGATGTTATTCAAGAAGTATAATCTCGTGAAATATACTTAAAAAGAGGAAGATGTACATATTTATACATGTAATCTACTTTCATTGCATTTTATTTCATGATTGGCTCATGACACCCTCTCAGACATACAAAAGCACTTTATTTATCTTTTACCAAAAGAGTGGATCAACTAGAAAAGCACACTTGAATAATAGAAGAGACTTCAGAGAGCTGGATGTTTAGATAGAAGTCTATCTGAAGTTTGTGCTTATAATGTTGTTCAGAACAATGAAAGCTCCACAACCAAAACATCCAGCTCATAGAACGAAACACCATCACAATCATCCACCTGAGGTACAAATTTTCCCCACCATCTCAAAGCCTTTAGAGAACTTATATGGCACATATCCCAATCGTACAAATTTCATTATACTTAGACATTCATCCTGTTTTCACTCAGCACTATCAAGGTTACTTTTTTAGAAGTGTTGTACTTTGATGTTGTTAGGATGTATGCCAACTTCAGGTAATTCAATACAAAATGAAATCGGATGCTGATTTAGTCATATTATTGGCTGGGGAGACGAAGAAAGACTGAACTATGACTCACGAATTAATTGGTGCATTCTGTGAATGGCAAGTCAATAGAAAACATGGTGATAATAAAATATGCGAATTTTTAAGTAGTAAAAGAAGTTATATAATAAACAGTTTTTGAATTAAGCATCCAGTAGATGCTATAAGGTGACTGAAATACACTAGAGATTATTACCGCCTGCAAAGAATACGTTTCTGCTACTTTGGTACATGGGTAAAAAATGGAGCCTTTCCTATGATATGTTTTAAGTGTAAACCATAGAACTCTATTGTACATTTCGATCATCAATAAATTTCCTTCAAATCTTAACCCGTACCACTACAAACAAACACTGAACCCATATCCAGAACAATAAACTTACCGGTAACCTTCCTTATTTAGTGCATGATCAATTGGGAATCCCAAAGAATTTAACTTTGCACGTCCTTCATCAGAACCTGAGGTTCCACTTAAGGCGGTCGTCCCACCAAGAACAGATGCCGACGTGGCCCGACGAGTGGAACGTACAAGACCACTGGATAACCCATTATTTACATCACCATTTGTTGAAGCAGCAGTTCTGGTACCAGGGTATCCTGTGACATCAGTATTAGTCACGGTACCAAGTGCTGCACTTTCTGATGATGCACAAGGAACAGTAGATATCACCGAAGAACCACTGTAAAAGTTCCCCATTCCAGCAGATAACCCGCTGCCAGGAGATTTGCGTTTACGCCAAACAGGCACGTCTATGCCATCGGTTTCATTGGTGAAAGGTAACTGATTATTAGCGGAGCTAAGATTTGATGACTGATCAACTACATCAGAGATGGAACCTGATACAGATGATTGGTTTTGTGACACACTGTTTGGTACGTTGGCGGAGGGAACTCCTAGTTTAGTGATATTTGTCCGAAGTTGACTTGTGAGAGCACGAAATCGATCATAACTTGGACCGATTTTGGTAAGATCCTATAACCATACAAACGAAATGAATTCATTAAACTGCTAAAGTATACATTCAATCTATTTGTAAAAAACGTTAGTGAATGTATCACTTCTTTGAAAAAGCTGCTACGGCTAAATACTACATTTTAAGCAAGAGAAATTGGTCGATGGTGTCGCACCCGGAACTTTCAATGACAAATGATGCAAAACACCAAGGGCTATTAACACTGCCTATACAAAGTAACTGATTTAGGATTCGAACCTACGATCTGTTTGTTGGAAAACAAATACATAAAATTTGTGGTACAATAAGGCAAAGAAATAATGCGCCACATGAAATGAGACAATAATATTGTACATAAAGGGATGACTATTAACATGAATTGCATTTCTCAAATTTTTGCAGTGGACATAAGTGATAAAAGTACAATTTTCGATCCGAGGAATCCATCATGAGCTTAACGTTCGGTAGATTGTTTTTCAGCTCCATTCAAATTAATAGTGAACTGTGGTTTTACCTCGTCCTACTATCCCGTTACTACAGTTTTCACATTATGTCTCGTATATTTTAGTTTTTTCTCTAGGTTTACAAACTTTCATTCCAATTTGATTTATGACTTGTATTTCACTACGGTCACTAAGAACACGTGTAAGCGACTTGGTTGTCGTTTTTCCGTCACTTCTGGTATGTGGTGTGACATACACAAAGGGTGGTTCCATGAAACAGACCCAGACCTTACAGCAACTAGTTACAACAGACTCAGTAAGCCAGGTCGTAGCACATGCAAACACAGTTTGTCGAAGGGATCTCTTCAATGGGTTTATTATCAAGCCGTACAATCGTACATATATATATATATATATATATATATATATATATATATATATATATATATATATATATATATATATAATTTTATAAGCATCAATCCTTCGAGAACATAATAAATATGATGATGTAATAGAAAGACTATGATATTAGACCATACTGCGGACAAAATCACAATAAAAGATTGTGTATGCGCAGACGGTAAGCTTGTAAAATTAATAATTAGTTAGCAACGGATCGTACTGATCCTTTCTGTTAATGAATACACAAGATTTGTAGTACGGAGCGTGCTGATGAAGAACTTGCTTTCCTCAAAAATCAGCTGAAAATGGCTATCCAGACCCGTCATAGAGAAAAAAACATGAAAGTTGGAACAAGGAACCCAGAAATTCTGTTTTAAAGAAACATCGTTATATGAATCTGGAATTCGTGGGTGATCGCAAGGGGAGGGTTAGTGTGATACAGCTTGATGTCTCAAAAACTTTTGGTAGGGTTAATTATATGCCTAATCAATAAGCTCAAAGTGTTAGGTATTGAGCTACCTTTAATGGACTAGTTGGCTTCCTATCTAAATATTCAACTTAAGGTCAGGGTTAACTCTATAACTTTTCTCAGGTTACAGAATGTCTTGGTGTAGTCCATCAGGGTTCATTCCTAGGACCTCTTCTCATTCTAATGCATTTAAATGAACTACCTCAACTAGTATCGTGAATTACTGCTTTTCCCTAACGATGTTAAATTTCGGAGAGAAGTTCACAGCCAAGATCATAAGCTAGCTCTTCAAGTGGATAAGACTCGACTTTAAAGTAGCATCCACCGATCTGATGGATGCCCGAAAACTCATCCCACCTGGATCTGAACATGATGAAGAACGAAGTCAACTTAGGCGCAGACTGATAAAAAGCCTACGTAACGACCGCGAAAAGTGGTGGGTGGCGAAAGCAAAAGCGATGGAAAAAGCAGCGGCGATAGGCAACAGTAGACAACTTATCCGACTTATCAAGGAAACTGGTATTAGGAATCCTAGTGTAAGTGAGACTATCTCAGAAAATGACGGGACTACTATTTATTCTCAATCCAGGAGACTGGATCGATGGGCAGAAAACTTTAGGGATCAGTTCAACTGGCCTCGAGCCACTCTTCGGTTACCCACCATCTCCAGTCATCCTGAATGGCAAGTCGACGTAAGTCCCCCTAGTCTTTATGAAGTTGAGAAAGCGTTAGGAAGTCTGAAGCGAGGACGAGCTGCAGGTTCTGATAGACTGACCCCTGAGATATTTAAGGATGGTGGTCCAGTTTTAGCAGCTAGGTTGACCGAGATCTTAGGTAGAATCTGGGAACTGGACGTAATCCCATCCGACTGGTCTCAATCACTGATTGTCCCAATCTATAAGAAAGGACACAAGTCTTCTTGTGACAATCACAGAGGAATAAGTCTAACTAATATTGTATCTAAAATTTTGGCCTCAGTAATACTTCGACGCTTAACGAAAGCTCGTGAAGAGCAAACTCGAGAAAACCAGGCTGGTTTTCGACCTGGACGTGGCTGTACAGACCACATCTTCACACTACGACAGGTCCTGGAACACAGACACATTTAGGCGTCCTACAATAGTTGTCTTCCTGGACCTAAAAGCGGCATTTGAATCAGTGGATCGTGAGGTTCTGTGGCAGTGTCTGTCATTGAAAGGTGTACCAAAGAAGTACATTAACCTCATACAAGCTCTCTACTCGAACACCACTGGTCGAGTGAGAGCTTATGGCGAACTGTCAACGGAATTCTTTACTTCAAGTGGTGTCCGTCAGGGATGTCCACTCTCTCTATTCTTGTTAAATTTTATCATAGACATGCTCCTAGAAATAACCTTATCCTCGTCAGATTTTTCAAGAGTAGACCTTCTACCAGGTGGCTCGCTTATTGACTTAGAGCATCCCGATGACATAGTCCTACTTGGTGAAGACGCTGACAAAATGCAGAGTCTTCTGACTACCCTAAGCAACAATGCAAGCATGTTCGGGATGCGGTTCTCACCCTCGAAATGAAAATGTTGCTTCAAGATTGGGTTGCATCGACACCTGAACTAGTGATAGGGAGTGAAGTAGTCGAACGTGTAGACCGCTTCACTTATCTGGGGAGTCTCATCAGTGCGGATGGCCTGGTGACTGACGAAATCTCAGCTCGGATACAGAAGGCTCGATTGGCTTTTGCCAACTTGCGTCACTTATGGCGTAGACGAGATATCCGTTCGCTGACTAAAGGACGAGTGTACTGTGCAGTGGTTCGCTCCGTCCTACTTTATGGCTGTGAAACATGGCCAGTGAGAGTAGAAGATATTCGTAGGTTACTGGTTTTCGATCATAGGTGTCTTCGAAGCATTGCTCGTGTATCCTGGGGTCCGCGAGATGATAATAATCCATGGTTAGAGACCTTGAATGAGATGGCTCAAAATCATTTGCAATGGCGCCGGTGCATTTATTCTTTGCTCTCTCAAATCCTAATCTTCTGGATTCTTCAACACCTCTAGTTCATACTTTCTCATTTAATCATACTTCTTGAATACTATCTTCTCATCCTAACCTCTCCGATTACTTCTAATACCTTTACTACCTCTTCTACTATTGGATTTGAATTGACAATTACATCTCTGTGCTGATGTGGTATGGCGACATTAACTGATGTAATTACGTACGAAGTTCTACGTTGCATCTGACTGACTGACTGTGTGAATAACAACAGACTTACGTTTTGCACTTCAAAGTACAAAGTAGTCCATCTGACACACGCTTCAGGCTAGGCATGCAGCCAAGGTAACTCCCCTCTAGAGGCATCCCAAACTGAAAAGGATCTAAAAATTTTGGTGCCCTGTGATCTAAAGTCTTACGCTCTATGATGCCTTTCAAGCAAGCCTTGCACTGGCAACACTGAAACGCAATTCTGGCCAGTTCGACAACGGAACGTTATATGGAAATATAGTGTCCCCTTACTCGAGAGGGATAAGAATTAACTGAAACGCAGTCAAATGTGAGTTATGGAGACCTCATGAAGAACGCTTTAGATCACTTTCTCTACCTATTATATTATATACATCTCAAAGGAAACTTATAGAATTCCAAACTCTACTAGATACCCACTGAAATAATTACTTACTCTTGGTCCCACCACTGACCTCAGGGGCAATGCCAAAAAATTAGGACAGTATAGCAGAATGGACTATAGGTGTACCTTTTACTCTTTACGAGTAGTCAGATTTCAAAATCAGCTTTCAGTTGAGGTGGTTCTAATGGCTTTCTAGGAGTCCTCCAAGAGGAAACTTGACATATTCTTAAGGACTAAGGACAGTTCTTCATTATAACTTACTAATGTTTTTCTTTTGTTCGCTAAATATACTAAGATTCTTACCTGAAGGCATCCGTAATCCACTGTTACTATGTACGGAAGTCCGTTAAGCGAAAACTTATTCTATTCTATCCAAAATCATTTGAACTGTTTGGACTGTTTGAAATATAATCAAGATGAACCTTATTCGTTTTGAATACATCTTTAATATCAACATGTAATCAACCAAACATGTTTTCTTCCAATGAATAATACTGGTATCAGTTAGCAAGTGACAAGAAAACTACTAGGATAACATTCGTTAAAGATTTCCCAACATTGGTCGAGTAACCGTCATTAAGCGTGAACCAACACTATCTGACGTCGGAATTAAGTGCTGCTGCTAACAGATAGAAGTAGCTTTTCAGAGAAAACGATAATTAATCAATAAATAGGTACACGTTTTTTCCCCAAATACTAAACCACTAGTTTTTTAAGGAATGATAACGATGAAAATGTATAAGTCACGTGTCCACGATTCGGTAAATGCTTCAGATCTTCCCGCCAACATATATAAATCGCTTCCGTAAGGGCAGTGACTGAGTTTATAGAGGAATGGCGAAACATAGGAATTCGTACGATCAAACACTTCGGATTATTATGGTTCTATGGTAGTATTACGAATGAAGTATTAATAAATAACTCCATTGCAATGTCAAGGAAGTTCAACTATATAGCGTATATATTACAAAAAAAATGTTAATAGATAGAAGTGAGTACTCACAGTGTTCGACAAGCACACATAAAGACCATCTGGAGTTTCTATTGTCTTGAACACATCACTACTAGTCTGTGATAATAGATAAACATTTATAACAAACCAAAGTTTTGTGGATATTTGGGTACCAAGAGTTATTTGATTTTCTGGGTTGCGTCGTAAGTTCTTCCCAATACTCCTCTAGAAACGGAATGAGTTCCTTCATTTCCATAAAGTATAAACGCCCTCCATGCTTCAACATCAGGTTGGCTAGAGCTGTTTGACACATAACAGTAAAATTGGCTTGCTTTCTAGAAAATACCTCTTCCCCGATCGGGTTGCATTTTTTACACATAAAGTGATAAGCAGTTAGGAAAGGTAATGCCTTTCTGCAAAAAAAGGATTCACTATTATATTTAACTGTAAACAAACCCAATGTTAAATGCAATGCATTCAAGATGAAACCATTTATAACAAACACTGCACTGAAAATCCGGCCTGCTAAAATCACGTGGCGACATACTGAAACACCATTATATATAATAATAGCCACAAACCAATAGCACTGAGGACCAGGAGGTGTTGGTATATTTACAAGAACAGACAAATGAGCATTTTGAACACGATCCATCTTATCTGTATTGTTCATGCCGTCAGACCTGCATTTTGATGTATCAATCATGCTGTCACTAGCCTAGCAGACATTAGAAAATGCAAGATAGAAGCATAAAATACCATTACGGAGAAGGGCACCTTTTTAAGTAACGATAATTTTAGATTGGGTACTATTCTATATTCAATAGCTAAGTCTTCACATTCTAGCCTCGCCGCTTGCTATCGATGTCAATCTAATATCTAATATCTTTTCCACTAACTGGTATGGACCAACTGAATTTTTTGAGCTCGATTCTTGTTCTTTCGTTACGGTTCGAGGTATAAGGTATCGTCCAATGCATGGGAGTCTAGCGTCAGTTTGACAGTTTACTTGCTATATGTATTACTTCGTCTTTCTTACGGTCCTTGAGACTCCTCTCTCCATCCGGCTCGCAAAAAGGATGGCATTGATTGGAGATGACACGGCGATTACAGAGCAGCAACGGCAGATATCCAATGTTCCGCCTCTGAACTTGTGTATGATACGATATTGCATCTGCCTGTGAAAACTCTTCACACCACAGAGTAGCAATTTTATGTGCATCAGATAACGTCCTACGACTATCTGCATAGATGCAAACACTGCCTCCTATGTAAACTCAAATATAACCTCAACAGGTCGCTCTCACTCGTGCGTTAAATACCTGTTCGCATGTTTTCATACGAGTAGATTCGGTACTCAACAGCCTTACGAGAGATCTTTTCACGTGATCTCTCGTCATAAAAACACCTTCGAGGTTGATGGACACAGTCAGGATTGATCTTCTCATTCCAGCACACGTCGATGACAGTGCCCTACATGTTAATCCGAGATCCAAAGCCAGACCTATCAAACCTACTAGCGGGATCCGTAAAGTTACTTGGGACCCCACGTTCGACCAATAAGAGACCTAAGTTCTAACGTCGCAGCCAAAAGTAAGCATCATCTGCACTGTCTTCGGATGAGACTCCGGTCTCACGTCCAGATCAGCAGACCACGCCTTTGATTTCGGATGAGATTGCAGGCTCACAATGTACGCACGAAACTACCGTCTCGCGTTCCGATCTCTGCGTACGCCTACCTGTACGTTTTCGCGACTAACCACCCAGGCAACAACGGATACGCGATAGGACACTACGCTTATACTACATGTATGCTACACTTTTCCCTTTTTCCTTCACTAAGTATCCTGAGCCCATGTCTACGACCACTGCCCTATTGGTACCGTCGACTCCAGTCACTCTTGGCGAAAGCTGGCCTGATCACCCACGCTCTGGTCAATGCACTCAGTCGATGTTCTGGTTCCGAATATTTCTGTCATACTTATGGTCATTTCTGGCCCCGTAGCTCAATCTGGTTCCTTCCTGCGTCTGCAGCGTTTTCTGGTCCGAACGCCTACGAACACAATCTTCAGACTCTGAATACGAGACACGCTGGTGTGGCACGCCAACCCGAACAACAAACCTGGTACGCTAAAACTGGAACATTTCCCCGTAGCAGACTTCCGATGTCAACTCGAGCTTCACTGGTCGCTTCCTGTTCGTCAAACCTTCCGCACTACAGTCGACCGTTAGCCGACCAGCTTCCGTTCCGAACGAAGCCCCTACGTATTGAAAGTGTGAACCCTTTCTAGAGGGAGCTGATATAGTGGGACACTTCTTTGAAGGAAAAGCAATTAATGAAAAGAAAACTTTTACAAGTTTACGCATTTTGTTTAACTGTACTAAAAACACTTACTCACGCGCAACCTTCTTTTTTAGCGTTGCTGCCATCATTCATAAGTTGCTACTCATTGTATCGCCCCCTTTCTCGTTCAAATATATTTTTGCCCTGGATTTACTTCTGATCAATTCTGTTATCTTAGTCAGTCTCTACTGGGTCACTACCAACTGTTTGTCATGTCTCTTCACAAAGCTGTCCACTGAGGGGCTGTGTTCACCTCGGCTGAGAGAGCATTCCAAGTACCATTGAATTTTAATAAGAAAAAGTGCGCACTCTCCAGGGCTTTCGCCCTTCAATGCGCCATTTTTCGGGGATAACCTCGACGGGCGTGGTAGTGATGCAAAATTATGGTGCTCAAGTTGGTAAGGTTTGGCGTGCCTAATATTTTTTACGCTATAATCAGGTCACCTTCGATTCTCCTGTAACTCAGTGGGAATGATACCAAGTGCTGGAGTTTATCTTCATAAGTTTTATTGTTCAACTCTATCACCAATCTTCGAAAATGGGTATTTAATTCCAGGGTAAGATCACGGTAATGGGTGATAAAGAAAAATGTAGCGTGAACAAAAGATCAACTAAAAGTGTATATCTTCTTACGAGCTGCAGGTACCCATTAGTAGATAATATGTGGGTACATTTAGAACGTTTTGCTAGAATGAGTGGAGTTGGTCTGTTACATAGAGGTCCATCTACGTTATGGAACTTCATTCAAAAACCAAATACCAGGATTACGAAAACGCTCCTTGAAAACATTTATTCAGATGATCGTGAAACAATTAGCACCGTTGCGACAATCACAAAACACGTCAATTTATCGAAGAAAAAAAGAAAAGTAGTAAAAGGTAACACTGCAGAAAGAAAACCTGATATGGACACATCTATATTTAACGTACTGCTAATACAGTTTTATAAACGTCAACTAAAAAATTGGTTTGAGCACAGTACAAAACCTAAAAGAGTTACCATACTACATTTTAATCGAAATCTCAATAATCAAACGTTTGCCTGTGTGACGGACAGTTAGGTCTAAAGATGTTACGTTGTGGATCTAAGTTGAGAGAAACATGACAATGAAATTTGATGCACAACACATTATTTTCACCCTACAATATCAGCAGGTTTGGTGTGAGTGCTTTCTAGGTACAGGACTCAGCCTAATTGCAGAGGTTAGGCGTTCACGTGCAATCCCAATTCTTTCATCAACTTAAGTGTGTGATAAGCTATTTCAGAAGTTGTTGTTCCTGTATAAGCTGGTTTTCATTCAGTAATTTGTAAGCTATTTACTCCATAAACAGCATACACGTTCTGAAATCCAAGCCGTTAAGTCCTATCTTATGTCTCACGCGACTGATCCATACATCATATGCTGCTCAAAGACGACTGAAATGAGGAAAAATTCGTCGTCACTATGAGTGAATTCAATACAGGCAAATTAGGATGCGTAGCTATTATCTATAGTTGCTTTAAAAATGCTTTCAAGTTCATGTGTCCTTCTTTTCATTGCAACAATCCATTTTTTAGACTCCACGTATTATACATTGAAAATACAGCAGGTGGTGTAAAACGGTGAAGTATTTAAAGATGCTCTCAATGCTTCATACAATAAATGGCTGAAAAACTTCGTTTACAATTACCTAATTGCACAGTTAGGGAGTTGAGAAATATTTTATCCTTTGGAGTGACATCAGAATAAACTCTGCATACAGGATGTAGAACCATTTCGGATGCGTGTCGCTCACCATTAACAGGATATAATCCAATTTCCACTTCCAGATCAGGACACATAAGCATTGTTGAGGACATAGACTTCGTATTCCTGCATCAGTGCACCGTCAAGGCAAAAAGCCAAACAAACGTAAACATGCCGACGTGGAACCAACTCCCAAGTTGCTCCAACGACAGCATACAAATACTCATTCACTTGCAAACACAGGACTGATGGAAAAGTTACTAGATGAACATGAAATTGCTGAGAAAGAAAATCAAAGGTGACATTGCAATTTCCAGTGTCTTTCAGGTTCTATTCTTGTGTAATTCGCTCGATCAATGAATATTACTCTTCCTCCTCAAAACTTATTTCTTGAGTAGTTTCCTCCTCCAAATACATTGCAGGCTACTTTTTAGTCTGCTGAGTAACATGCACAGCCAGGGGACCTAGTAGAGCCCTGAATTCTGACATTAATAATAAGTCGATAATCTCAGTCCCTAGCAGCAGGATTCGTAGAAAGCTCAAAACATCCATTTGCAGAGAACTTCGGATTAGTGTGAATAACACGGATTACTGCACACAAAGCCTCAACTTTATCTCCAACGATGATTCCTACTACCAGAACGATCAGTGAGTTAAAAAGAAGTGGGAGAAAAGGGTTCTCTAAAATCACAGTGCAGAATCACTGAGAAATTAAACTGAAGAATAGCTTAGTGAAAGGATCAGCCTAAAATAAACTCATTGATTCCGACTAAAATACCTAATTGTCCTCACAAAACACCAACCGGACAGACAGCAAAAGCAGCTGCAACTCGAGCAAATACACCAACGAAATCACCTATTGTTGTAAATATTGCTTTTATGTTTTGTGGATATGGCTTTTTTCGCGTCGCCACTTTTATGTTTTGTACTTGATGTAACGTCAACCACCGTACTAATGACACCCGAACGTTAGACCCCTCCGTTCAAAGAAAGAAGACGGAAGACGTTGTAGAACACTTCTTGTCAGAATCAAAAATATACAATCAAACATGCGTATTTATACAATTATATAAAAGTCGTTAATTATTTGAACATGCTTCAATTAGTTCGTCAGGAACGATAATCATATAGTTCATTATAAATGAAATAGTTTATCATGAACATTAATCATATAATTCATCATTAATGAAATAGTTTATCATGAACAATTAATCATATAATTCATCATTAATGAAATGGTTTATTTTGAACATAAATCAAATAGTTCATTAAATCCACAATATGCGTGGCTTTATTCTCGATTGACTATCCCAACAATTGCAATATATGTTAACAGTGCAGAACAGTCGGTCAGAGTACGAAAAGGTAACCGCAGCATAATGAATCCCAAAACACCACAAATCAGGTACAGGGGAGCTAGAAAAAATTCACAAATTTTATTGCTTGTTCCAGATTGCTAACTGAGAAGTAGGGCTGTCTTTAACACATTGCACTAAGATAGGTATCGCACAATTCTTGGAATGAGCAGTTACTGACTTACTTACGTAGACAGCTGTTAATAAACACTTGTATCTTCTGGATGATAGCTTTAGTAGTTCTCCATGTTTCCGCTCCATACATTAGAACTGTCTTGACATTTGTATTGAAAATCCTGATTTTGGTGTTGATTGATATCTGTTTGGAGTTCCAGATATTTTTAAACTGTAGAAATGCAGCCCTTGCTTTGCCAATCC